GACTTCATCCTGCCTCGGCCTTGCTAATGGTAAATGTGTGCACTAGGTATGCATGGATGATGCCTACCCATGCCAGCATCCTTTGTCTCCCAGGGCTGGGCCTGCATGGCTCAGGGAAAGGTACAAACATTGCCCTGCACAAAATTACTGCAGAATGTGCCCTTGTGGAAAGCTGCTCCTTATACCATCACCTAGAACTCGTCTTCAATGCCCTGGAGCAAGAGGGTTTATAGCTCTTTGGAGTTCATTCCTTTTTATTCTCATTGTCTATATAAATATCTAGTCAGGTTTTTTTAATGAATGCCTTTTCTTCTTACCCAGTGGCAATGAGTTCACTGGATCATCAGTGTTTAGGATGAAAGTAATTCTCCCTGTCATTCATTCGGATTGCATTTTTTTTCTCATTTTGCCTTATATCCTGGCAGGTCACAAAAGGAGGAAATAAAAGAAGCTCATGCCAAGTCTAGGCAGTGTTCCCAGATACTCTGGGGTCACAGAGACTGTGATATTGGACTTGGGCAGCATTTCTGGAGGCTTTGGGCAAATACAAAATACATCTTGGGGTAACCCAGGATGGCTACTCTTAGTGCACTACTGGAACATAGGAAGGTGAAACCAAGGGCAGCTCCCATTCCCTGAGGCATCCCTTGCACAGCCACCAGGCCAGGGGAATTTGGTACCTCCTAATGGCATTTCTGGTGGTCTTAGCCTAGGAAGATTTGAAAAGTTTTTAGAGGCTTAAGAGCACTTTTGCCACCAGAGAGCAAAACTTGGGGCAAGGTAACACCAGGTAGAGTCACCAAGACCACAGCTTGTTCTTTTCTCCATCATTCCCCAGATATGCCATCAGTTCCACTGTTGAGTTCATGCATCACTGTCTGCCAGCCTGGCCATGCTCCACAGTGTGGCAGAGCATCAAGATGGTGCAAATAGCGAGAAAAGAGCCAGGAGGTTTTCTACCTTTAACTCCCACCCCCTCCCTGCTTCTCTTTTGCCTGCCCCCTCCACTTCCCCGCTGAAGGCACAAACACCTACTGCCCATGGAAGCTATTCCTAAGCAATCCCGGGCATCTGGGGAATGAGGCTCTGAACAAGTATCAGAGCGTGTGTGCAGAGAGTGCACACACATGCACACACACACACACATGCACAGCCACGGTGCTGCTGCAAAGTCAAATATAGACCTCGTGGAAGGGAAACAATGGCTGGGGTTGGGTTACATGGCTGTAGGGCCAGCGAGCTGCTGTTTGTTGTGGGCTGGGGTGGAATTGGAAAAGCAAGGGGGGTGGGATGGGGGAGAACATTTGTTTTAACCTAGAGACCCTGGGCTGGTGCTGTGCGTAGGGCGGAGAGGGTGACCCAGAGCAAGAGCTGAAGAGGATGATCATTTGAGTTGGCAGCTCAGAGGTGTTTGCAGTCTTTCTCCAGCTTCTTTGTGCTGTTTTTCTGCCTTTCTTGAGGAATTAAAGTGAGCAGGAAGGGGTGAATTTCTCTGGGCTTCTGCACAGGGAAGAGTTTCTGCTCTGGAGAAGGCTTCTTTGTGAAGAAGAGGCAACATTATCTGTTTTCTCAGCCCATCTGCTTCTTGTCCCTGATGTCTGGCTGCCTCCAAGGTGCAAGTTCCAGACTCCGGAAGAAAGGGAAGCAGCTTCAGCTGGTTTTGACAGGTAATTCCTCCCTCTGTCTGTGAGTGGTGACCGTGTGTTGGGATGATGGTGGGGGAGGGAGTCTTCATCTAGCATGCATTGGAGGGAAAACCATGACAAGAGGTTGCTCCAGTTCCCACTCCAGGTCCCTGCTTTGTGGGATTTCCTTCACTGGAGGGAAAAGCCATGGAGGGACTCTTATGGCTAGGAAAAAATCCTTCCTAATTCTGATCCAGCAGCTGTTCCATCTGAGACGCCTCTAGGGATGGCACGGCAGGGATCAGAGCCTAGTAGAGCAGGGTATAAGCCAACCACAGGAATCCCTTCAATGCCCACTTCTTGGGTCTGCAAATAGAGCTGCTCTGAATAAATAGTACTGGGCAGTCCACGGACTGACACAGCGAACCTGAGACACAGGATAGTGCCCGGGAATGGGACTGGAGCCCTTTGGTGTGGAGGAAGGAGTGCATCCAAGGTTCATATTGCATGAGTCTCTTCTCCCTCCTCTGTACTCCCCTTTTACTCCCATCCATCCTTGCCTGCTTCTGTCTGTGATACTCACATTCAAAGCCAAACCTCAAGCCACAAAACACATAATTTCCTCAGATATCCCACCTTCTGAAATCCCACCCTGGATTTTGTTCTTCATTCCCCTTCCTTGGAGCTCAGATCTTCAGCAACCAACTTTATCTCCTCAGCCTGGACAGCCCTGACTTGCTGGTACAGCTCTCACCTCCAAGAGAGGCAGCACAGGGAGAGCCAGGTGTCCCATTCTGCTGGCTGCACCCTAGCCCCATCTCCCTCTCTCACAGTGCTCGTGCTGCGGGCGCAGATGCTTACGGATATCAGCATGTGCCGGGGTCCCTCTGCAGGCCCCCTCCTCTCTGCCCATTCAAATGTACACACAGCATCCAGAGGGTTTTCTCAGGCATGTTTAAGCAAGTGAGGTTTAAGGGCACCGGGGCATGGCTGTGCAATGACATTGCAGTGCAGTGCGGTCAGGACCAGGGCAGATCCCAGCGAGGAATGCGGGAACAGATGAGGATGTTGCAGGAGGTGGTGCTCTATCTGACACAGTTAGTGAAGGTAGTAGGATGCCAAGGAGGAGGTGAGGGTGAGCAGCCTACACTCAGTGTTGAAGGTGTCACCAGTAAACCTTTGGCCTCCAACCATGACTGGCAAAGAGGCAGGGTATTGTGGGTGTCAGAGCAGAAATGTGGATCATTCCAGGTCCTAGAGCTGTAGTGATGGAAGGAGAGGCTGTCTGGTTTTAAACCAAGTACCAGAAGCTGTGCTTTGCCCTCAGCCTCCCCTCTCCTTTTTGCTGTAATCTCCAGACATGGTAGGAATCAGGGCTCAGAAGCAGACTGAGTAGGGGATGAGAACAGATGTAGAATTACAGGAAGCATTTCAGGACAGAGCTGGTGCACATCTGTCTCGCAAATTTCCGAAGAGCTGATGGAGCAACCTAAGCAGGAGGTTTGGACTTCTCTGTCCCTCTGTCTATGGGGTTATAGAGACAGGAGGAGGAAGAGGGCAAGGAAAGTAACAGGGTTCCTGGCTGACAGGACAGCAGGAAGGAGGGAGGAAGGAGGCAGCTCCTGCAGAGGTAGGCAGGGTGGTAGGCCCCCATTTTATCACTCAGTCAGGTTGTGTTGTCCAGGCATGCCAAGGATGAGCAAGGAGGGGTCCCTTCTCAGAGCTGGCAGAGACCTTGGCTTTGATGGGGTTGCACCTGGGCTCTTACTGGGTCCTGGGACCTGCAGAGCTACCCATGGCTGCCACAGGGTGCTGACAGGGCTGTCAGGAACTGCAGAGAGCTGGGGGGGACTAGAGAAGGCGAGAGCAGGGAGAGGTTAAGCTTTGTCTAATGAGATGAGATGGAGTGTGAAAGCATCCATTAAGTGCCTGTAGGACATGGTTCTTCCTTCCTGGTGAAAAAGAGCAAACCTTGTGGGATACAGGGGTAGAAAAGAGCTGAGTGATGTGAGCTTGTAATCTAATTAAGGATTGCTAGGACCTTTGAAGGTGACGGCTATGATCTTGTCAAGCAGCAGAAAGGCCATGCAAGGTGAGGAGGAGAGCAGGCAGCTGTTTCATCTGAAGATGTGGCAGTCCAGATCCTCTCCCACGGTTGCCTTATTGTTCCCTATTGTCCACTGAAGTGCTGATGTCCACATCTCGTGAGTGGCAGCGAGAAAGATGCTGGGGACCACAGCTTCTCTGGATGGCTTCCTTTTTGGGGGGTGACTACTACAAGCTGAACCTTTATTTTAAGGATGGGGCTTCTTAATCCTACAGTGGAGGTGTTTTAGTGGACCCCGGGGACATCAGGGAGGGGCTGCAGGAGGTGGTTTTGGTTATTCGTATTATTTCACATAATCTGAGCGAGACGAAGGCTCGGATCATCGCGCACCTATTTCCGAGAGGGGCGCCAGGCTGAGAGGCTCCGTGCCCCGCGGGACCGCGCCCCAGCCCAGGCGAGGGCGGCGAGCGCTGCATCCCCCGAGCCCCGGCCGGGGGTACCCCAGCGAGGGCGCGCCCCTGCGGGATCGCCGGCCCGGGCACCTCTCGGTGCTCCGCGATCGCTGCTGGGGGGGCCGGGGCCGCTGAGCCCTCGCAGCCGCGGCTCCCCCGGGTCGGTGGGGGCGGGCGGGGCCGTGCCGGGGTCCCCCCGGCCCCGGCGGCGGGAGCAGGGCAGGGGTGAGCGGGCAGGGGTGAGCGGGCAGGGCGGGCCGGGCCGGGGGCTGCCTGCGGTTTGGGGCGGCGGGAGGCGGGATGTCCCGGGGAGGGAGCGGGGATGTGCAGGCACACGCAGCCGCTGGCAGGCGGCCGGGGCTGCACGGCGGCGGCGGCGGCGGCGGCGGGCGGAGCGGCGCGGCACACGCGGCGGCAGCTCCCTCCGCAGCCCCGCGCCTCCAGCCCCGCCGCCGCCGCACCGGGCATGGCCGCCCCCCGCCGCCGCGCCCCGCGATAGCCCCACGAGCCGCCGCGACGCCGAGGTGAGCAGGGGCCGGGGAGCCGCAGCGCCCCAGCCCCGCCGGGCCCCCTTTCCCCGCCGCCGCCCCGGCCGCAGGGGCACCGGCGGGGCTCCGCGGAGGGTCCCTCCGGGGCAGCCCTGGGGTGGGGTGGGGCTGGGGGAAAGGCGAACCCCCCGTGGCCGTGCCCCTCCGGGGGGCACCGGGACTTGGGGTGGTCCCGAAGCCTCGGGGGGAGGGGGTCGGGGGGACAGGCGCAGCGAGCCGCAGCGGCGCGGCATCCCCCGGGCTCCCAGCCCTGCCCCCGGAGCCCAGCCGGGAGGGGTCCCGGTAGCCTTCAGACTTGCAGCAGTGCCTGAGAGCCCGCGTCCTGGGGATGTCCCTGGTAGTCCCCAAGCGCACAGAGGTCCCTGATACCCTCGAAAGGGAGGTTAATGGACTCGGGGATCGTCCTCGCAGCACCCGGAGGTCTGGTAGCCCCCAGCCCGGCCAGGCAGAGGCGGACGAGTGGGACGGAGGGAGCTCCCTCGCCCGTGTCCGTGTGACCCAAAGCCAGGCCTGCCCAGGTGCAAGCTGCTCACTCCTCTCCCGGGCACCAGCTGCCAACCAGGATGCCGGGGTCCGGGTCGAGGTGCACCTCTGCCAAGGTGCCGCGGGAGCAGCACCCACGGGGTGACTAGGTCAGGAGGCCTGAGAGGCTGTGCCTCGAGTGGGGAGCTGTGGGGGAAAATCAGCCTTTGCAATGGGGAAAACACAGCCTTTGCAATGGCATATGATCGGAGCTTGTGCTTCTCACAGTCCTGAAGGAACATGATACCACTCTTGAGCCCTAAATTATTTTATAAGTTTCATAGCAATTGCTTCGCCCTCCCGTGAAATGCAGCAGCTGTTTGCCACTGCCCAGTATTTAGAGGCAGGAGGCAAAGGAGGGTCCTGCAAGCATGTTGTCAAAGGGACTGTGGGGAGGGAAGATGCAGCAATCCATGGTGGGATTTGGCTGGGGCAGTGGCAGTAACATCCTGTAGCCCCTCTGAAAATGCTGCATCCTTAGTTGGTGGTGGTTTGTTTGCTGGAGAGATGCTTCAAGCAACATCATTGCTTTTATGGGCTATTTTGTCCGGTCCAGGGAGGTGAAGCTCTTAGCAGGGACCCCAAAACCTCTTCCTGCAATGCATGTGTATGTGAGTGGGAGGACTTATGTCCCCATCTTAGAAGTCTCTCACACAACTATGGACCAAACATAACCTTCCAGAGCTGAAGAGTCAAGCTGAAAGTGGAATGGCCCCTGTTCATCACACCCACGCAGCTGGGTAGAGTCTGCTCCATACCTTCACCATTCTCTTAACAGAACTGTTTAACCCCTCCCATCTCATTACAGTAATATATTTATGATATCACCCTCGAATTTCCTGCCCTTAACAACCCCAGAAGGCTGGGAGGGAATGAAGCATTTTTGGAAAGTATTTAATGCTACTTCAAGAGGGCAGGAGGCAGTCGGAAAATAGATGGGTGCAGGAACCTTGGGCTGACGGGGCTCTCTGCAGGACAGCTGAGGAAAAGGACCACACCTAGTGAGAGATGTGTGTTCACATTTCCTGCCTGGGGCTGCAGCCCCGCTCTAGTGCCTGTTGATGCACTCTCTTGCTTGGACAGTGAAAGAGGGCTGCTGTTTTGTGCCTGCTCCTCTGCTAGATCCACTGGACTCCCTGCTCTGCTGCAGGGTTTGAAAAGCAGCCTGGGCACCGTCAAGAACACTGAGCCCATCTATTCATGCAAATGTGCACAGGAGGACCTTATTTAACACAAAGCTGAAGTGTCCCAGATCTAGGGAGGGAAGGTGAAGGTCCCCACAGCTGGGTGGGTGTTTCTGGGTTTCTGATCTCCTGACAGCAGCTACTGGGGCAGATGCTCCAAGGTGTGCTGTAACAGCCTGACCTATTACACAGGATTGAGTCTGCACTCTAGGTTCTCCTGTACACACATTTTCAAAAGCTTTTTAATTCTTAGTGCCCCAATGCTGACTTAGAGGAAGGAGTCTGGATGGAACAGAGGGGAATGTGGTGACAAGGCTGTATAAAACTGGATGTTTCAACTCAAACTCCCAGGCAGTAGAGAGGACCTGTGGTGTCAGCCAAGGGATTTTCCTGAGCTTGCTCTTTTTCTCTCTGTAGGTGTTCATCTCGGTGGGGCCACACTGACCATGCTCAGGAGCTTCTGTCTCCAGCTCATGTCCTTGATTTGGATCCTCTTGGCCCATCACCAGCTTGTGCAAGGTGAGTCTCTGTAGACATGGGTTCTTCTCTTTCATATCCATTTTTCCAAACCTGTCCTTGGCATTCCTGAAGTCTCCTCAGTTTCCCATGCAAAATCGAGATGTTCTGACTTGGAAAAGCAGAAAAGGCTGCCTGGTTGTTAAATCACCCGGGGTGTGACACTGGAGGCACCTTAGAAACTCTCGCCCACAGGGGTGGCAGTGCCTGAGCAGACTGACAGAGACATCCCTGCTGCTCTCTCCCCATTTGGTTTGGGAACCCATTCACCCTATGAGCTTGATCAGGGGAAAGAAGGTCCCAAAAGTGAACAGCTAACCCTGGATCCAGTGAGACAAAATCCTTTCCCAAAGATTAGTTTGCTCTATCCCTGCTCTAGATAAGCAGCGAATTCCCAAAGCCATGTGCCAGGAGAGACGGTTACAAATAGGAAAGGTGGCAATACCCAGGCTTGGGGCTGAGCAGTCCCAGGATGCTGCTCCAGCTCCATAGTGACTTGTTTAAAGGAGGTTCTGACCCTGTGCAGTGGGACCTGCTGCCTCACTGCAGCAAAATTGCATGCACAGGGGATTTCTTCCCCTGCTCATTTTCCCAGGCAGCACAAAATGCTGCTTGGGAAGCCTGAGCGCATCTCAAGGCATGGGGGCTTTAGTCTGTTTCAGTCCAGGCTGGAGGGGCTCAGGTAAGGACATTCACCTCCTGGGCCTGGCCTGCACAAGATTTGCACAAGTCTTCTGGAGAAACCCCCTGCTTCTTGACATCTGCTCTAGTTCTGCTGCTCATGGAGCCAGAGTGAACCAGCTCCTCTGTGGAGCTAAGATGCAAGCAAGTGATGGGGAAGAGGGGAAGGTGGAGATGAAAGGGAACACCTGCACAAAGGAGAGGATGAGAAGTGGCACAGAGAGGCCATGGCTCAGTTACAGCTTCTGTGGCTTTTAAATAAATAAACAGAACTGGATACCTGGCCCCATGTGAGGCCAAGTTCTGCTTCCCTGTGCTGGAAGGGGAGTGCTGGCAACCAGGTCCCAGAAGAGGACAGGAGCCCCTGTCAGACTGCTCAGTGCCAATAGCTGTCCTTGGAGACAGCGACATCCTGGGAGGTGAAGAACCATTCTTCCCATTTCCATCCTTGGCGCCTTTGTGCCCCTTGCAGTACTTGGCCCTGAGCTTTCCCACCCCACTTACTGCAAGACCGGGGTCCCAGGTGGGTCAGTCCCTATTACACAGGTTGTCTTAATGCACAGGCAACCCCAGCTCTTGCCCAGAAGGGCCCAAAATTAAGAGAGGCAGCAGAGAAAAGGTGGGGAAGATAACCAGAGGCTGGGTAGTTTTAAAGCAGAGCCCCATTTCTCAATAAAGACAGAGTTATAGACAGTGGACTGTGAAATCTTCATTTCTTGTGTGACATCAGTGAGTGAAAGGAAGGTGCCCCACCTTACAGTTCTGGGGACAGGTAGGGTGAGCACTTGAGGAAACACCCAGGGCCATGGAAAGATCTGGAATAATCTATAGTCTCTGCTTAACCCAAGTTCACATGTCTCTTGTCTTGTAGGGGATGACTGCAGTGAGCGCTGCAATCTTGCCCACGGCTGCTGTGACCAGGATGGGAAGTGCAGGTATGGCTTGTCTGGCTCTCTGCTGCTCCTGACTGTGACTGCTCCCCTTGATACTGTGTCCCTGGTGCCTACACCCCTGCCCAGAGCTGAAGCACCTCCTCCTCCACTCACCCACATCTGGAACCAATGACTCTGCTCTCTTCTTACCTGACACACTCAGGAGTGAGAGATTCCTCTAGCCTTTGCTCCAGTGCCTCCCTGCCCACCATCACACACAGAGCACTGTTATTCTGCTGAGCCCTTTCTGTCTAGAGGGAAGCCTAGGACAGCCTGGCCATGCCTGGGTGATGGGAAGCAGCCTTTAGGCTCAGATATGATGAGGGAAAGTCATCAGGCAGCAGAGCAGGCATGAGGGTTGGCCAGTTTGCTTGGCCCCCTCACTGACTGAGATGGAAGTGCTCTCCCTGGGGCATGGAAGAGAAGGCTTCCAGCCATGCATATAACTGAGGGCCTCAGGGGTCCCCTCTCAGAAGTCTGAGCTGTGGTGGAGATCTCTGGATGTTTTTCATAAAAGGTTTACCAGTAAGCTGTGATCTACAGCAGCAGAAGTGCATATGTGGTACTTGGCATCCCAGCTCCAGCTGGTGCCCAGATCCTGCAGGGTCAAAGCTCAGAGCCTGAGCCTGCACTTCAGCTTGGGAAGCACCCATATAAGTGCTCTGGGCTGCCACAGACCCACTGCCTGTTGTCCCACTGCAGGGCCATCTGCAGCCCCTGCTCTACAAGGCAGCACCAGGGGGCAAAGGCTGGCTTTGCCCAGCCCCTGGTGTCACACCACAGCTGGGCCACTTGTTCTTGCTGACTGCTGCACTGGGGAGTGTCCAGCTCTGGTTTGGCTGGGCCCCGTTTGCACAGAGCTCCTCCCTGAGCCCTTTCAGCAGCTGTGGCTGCCTGGGGGAGCAGGGTGCTGCAAAGCCCAGTGAGAAAGGCCACATGTCACCATGTGGCAGGTGTCCCAGCTGCAGACCTTTCTGCACGTGAATTGCTGCTGCTGATTTCAGGCCTCCAGAGCATTTACTGAACCCTGTGGCTTGGCAGTACCTCAAATCACCTCAAACTCAAGGAGACTTAGCTCCTTGCCTTGCCCCCTTCCTGGCAATTTTTAGGTTGGCCAGCTCCCTTTTGGAGAAGTGGAAGAGTTGATAGCACCTGCTCCTTGCAGATACTGGGGGGTGAGTGTATCCACATCCCTCTGCTCAGGCTGTCCAGGTATGAATGTAATTCCCCAGAATATACCAGGCACATGGCATCACCTCCAGTCTCATAGAAAAGCCTCTAATTAATATATATGTGTGTGTGTGTGTGTATATATATATATAGACACACTTTTTTTTGACCATTTTCCTCACTCCTTATCTCTTTGGAACTACATACAAGTGACCACAGCCAGCCCAGGTTTGAAAGTGCAGCTGTGGGCCAGCCCAAAAAAACTGCAGTCACCACACTTGGTGCTGAAATGAGCCCCAGCCATGAAAATGAACCTCCTTCCTTACTCTAGAAACTGTTTTGTTTTTGTTGGGTTTCATTTTGTGCTGGTTTGAGTATATCTTTTGTTGTGGCTTGGTGCCACCTCCTCTCAGCTCTCATCTTGTTATCACTTGCTTTCTGCCTTGGAGCTGGCAGGTCTGAGGGATGCCTGCCACGGGAGCCATGCAGCTTGGCTTTACTTAGGCATTGCCACTGCCCTGCTCTTCTGGGGCCAGAAGGCTCCTTGTGTGCTGCAGGTTTCCCCATTGTGCTGCCCCTGTGAGCTGGCTGAGGAGTCTGTTCTGTGCACCAGCCATAGCAAGCAAGGTTTCACTGCTGGCTTACAGTGCACTCCAGACAAAAAATGATACACATTATAATGCAGAGAGGAGCAGTGAAACACACAGACCTCAGCAGCCTCTTGTCCCTTTCCCTCAGGAAGCTCAGAGTTAGGAATGGGCTTCTCTCTGCCTGTCAGAGTGGCTGCCTGCTGTGGGAGGCACAGGAATTCCTGAGCAGGGGTGTATATAGAGTGGCTGGTTGGAGGAGAGCAGAGGGATGTGGGCAGTGAAAGTGAAGCTGCTGAGCTCTGCTGCTGGCCACTCACCCACCCTGGCTGCAGGGGGTGTCTGCTCCTGCTCTGTCTGCTTGCTTCTTTGGGCAGATGAGACATCAGTACTTACCTCTGGAGGAGGGAGCTAGGAGGTCCATGGGGCCTTTGGGAAGGTTTCCGAGCACTGCCGTACCTGTAGGAGCCCTGCACAACGCACAGACAGCTTTTGTGCAGCCCCTGCTTGGATTTGATTTGATTTGATTTGATTTGGTTTGATTTGGTTTGATTTTGGTGCTTTGCCCTGTCCTCGTGCAGGTGTGATCCAGGCTGGGAGGGGGAGTACTGCGAGGAGTGCGTGCGCATGCCGGGCTGTCTTCACGGCACGTGCCACCAGCCTTGGCAGTGCATCTGTCACTCTGGCTGGGCTGGCAAGTTCTGTGACAAAGGTGAGTCGTGGGCTTGACATCCCTTCCTCCGGTGCCCAGCACGCCCTCATGGATATGTCAGCCAGCGTAGCCAGAAGCCACCTGGGTGATGCTGTTTTGGCTGCCTGGGAGATGGGATGTTGCCTGGCAGCCACAGCTGGGACCATTCTCTTCCTGCAAGAGGTCAGACTGCCGACACTTGTTCCCTGGCTGTATGGCAAGAGCTGGCGTGACACTGGCCAGCCTCGGGAAATAGAGCAGATGAACTCATTGCATTTCCTGTGCTGCATCAGGACTCCAAGCAGCATTCCCTGCTTTTCCCAAGGCTTCCTGCCTTCAGCAGGTGGCTGGAGGGCTCCCCTTCTCCAGCCCCAGGGACTTGTCTGTACCAGGGGGTCTCCACTGGTCAGACAGTTGGCATGCAATGCATCTTCACAACCACACAGGCACTGCACTTCTGTTGCTGCATGTGCCTATTGGAGGGGTGAAGAGAGAAGCTCCAGCCACTTCTCCATCCCCAGGGGGTTTGGTGGGTTGTGTTTGCACTGAGTTGGCCACATCAACCCTCTTGTCTCCCTAATTCACACTATTTTTTTCCCTCAGACATACACATCTGTGAACACCAGTCCCCCTGCCAGAACGGGGCACAGTGCATCTACGATCGAGATGGGGAGTATTCCTGCTTGTGTCCAGAAGGTTTCCACGGGAAGGACTGTGAGATGAAGACAGGGCCATGTGAGAAGGCAGGGTGAGACACAGACACCATTAACTTTGGGTCACACACTGCCAAGTGGAGGCCCAGCTTGGCTTGTTACCTGTGAATTTCTGTACAGTTATGGAGTTAAGCCAAAATCACCTTTGGCTTTGGTTTAGCAGCGTGCAGTGCACGGTCCCACCAGGAAAAGGGCTTTGTTGCAATCTGAACAGATTCCTGTCCCTTTTGTAGGAGGACAGGAATCTGTTCATCATGCGTGGGACATCCTATCTCCCAGGCAGCCAAACTGCTGTAGGCATGATGAGCTAACATCCATGATGCCTTTGGGGAGCATCAGGAGGGCATGTTTCCTCTTCAGGTCATTTGGCTGAAGACCTTCCCTGGTGGGTGGTGGGGCTGTGCACAGCCAGAGCCTTTGAGGAGCTTTGAGGAGTGAGGCCTCTCACTCAAGGAGACAGAAACTCCTACCCCGTCTTCTCCTAGAGATAGCTGCCCACACGGAGAGAGCTGGACACACTGACCATGCAAGCAGCTCTGTTTACCTCCCTGGGGTAGGGGAAGCTGCTTGGTCTCCAGGGCCATGACCTGTCCTTGCTCTCTCCACACAGGTCTCCATGCAAGAATGGTGGGCAATGCCAAGATGAAAATGGCTTTGCCAGTAACTTCACCTGCCGGTGTCTGGCTGGCTTTGTGGGGGCTCTCTGTGAGCACGACGTGGACGACTGCCTGATGCGCCCCTGTGCCAACGGGGCCACCTGCCACGACGGCATCAACCGCTTCTCCTGCCAGTGCCAGGTGGGCTTTGAGGGGCGTTTCTGCACCATCAACATCAACGACTGCGCCAGCCAGCCCTGCAAAAATGGGGCAAAGTGCTATGACCGCATCAATGACTATGACTGCTTGTGTCCTGACCGTTTCACTGGCAAGACATGTGAGATCTCCGTCCCTGAGCCCACCTGGTCTCCTCCCTACCACCCTGCCAACCATGAGAATGCTGGAGGCGTGAAAAGCACCACAAGTGAGACGCCGGGAGTGACGCAGCCAGAGCCCATCAGGACTGTGGTCACAGGGCGGCGTGTGGCCAACCACAGTGAGAAGGAGCCGGGGGGAGGGTTGTTGAAAATCTCTGTGAAGGAGGTGGTGACCCAAAGGGACTCAGGGCTGAGTGAAGCCCAGCTGGTGACAGTGCTGGTGTTCGGGGTGCTGACAGCAGTGCTGGTCCTCATCACTGTCCTGCTAATGCTGAGGAACTGGCAGAGAGGCCGTCAAAGGTCGAACTGGTGCCAAAGCCCTTCTCAGGCTGCAAGAAAGCTCCAAGACCAGGAGTGTCAGGTGGGCATGCTCAACACCATCTTGATTGAGCCAAGGAAGACCACAGAGCTGTGAGCTGCGAGGACTCTGAACCAGGCCCTGGCAGGTCATCGTGCTGGCAAACCCCTTGAACCGCGCCCTGCGGAGCCACACCAGCACCCACTGGGCAGCAGGGAGGGGCTCCCAGGGCAGCAAACACGTCAACAAAACCCTGGGTGTTGAGCATTGGTGTGATGGCCCTGCCTGGGTCTGAGCTGTCTCCTGTCTGGCTGGCTCAGCTGGCACTCATGGCATTTGAAGGCAGGGCTGTGTTGGGCCAGCCAAGGCACCACTGTCATCTGATCCAGCTCTCAGAAACAGGACAGGTAGTGCTGAGGAGGGCACAGCCCTCCTGCAAGCCCAAATACTGCCAGACCCTTTGTAACTCCTCTCTGTGACTACGAGAAGGGGATTTATCCTCATTTCTGCTGGTGTTGGGATGCTTCTTCTGGGGCCTTTGATACAGTTGTGGCTGCATGGGTCTCCCTGCCACAGTACTGTATGGGGTAGTTCCTGGCTGTTTCTGGAGGCTGTCATTTCAGATGCCATGTCCCTAGGGAGTGAGCAAACACCCTTGCTCCCTGGCCTTGTGGTTCTGTGAGCCAGTTCAAAGAGACTTCAAAAATCATCGCAGGTCTCATGCCCTTCTTCTGCCCTGGCTGATGCACCCTCCTCTTGCTGTCAGACTTGGGGGTTACAAACACGTTCTGTACTTTCCTCCTGATAATCCAGGAGTCTCTCTGACTCACTTCCTAAGCCGTCCTTTCTGGTATGGCCACAAATGACCAAGATCCTTTGCCTCTGCAGTGTGCACTTCTGCCTCACTATTTGCTCTCCTCTGGGCCTGAGCTGGTCCTTCTCATATGTCCTCATAGGTGAAGCTGGAGAGGGACAAGGCTGTGCTGTGGCTGGTTCAGGAGCAATACAGGATCCAGGTCCTCCTTTCCTCTCCCATTCACTCTGAGGCAGGCAGCTGGCTCTAACCTCAAATCAGTCACTGCAGCGTTCCTCAATACACCAAAGGCTGAACTCCCCACAGTGGATGTGAGCCTGGGATGAACACAGGAAGCAGACACAAAACTGCCTTCTCCACCTTTGCTAAAGCATGGCTGAGAGGCAGCAGATGGTCAGGTCACTTAGCCTTTGTACAAGATCTGTTCCTGCCTGTGCTGGTCTGGTGTGCAGCATAAGGACCTGAATCTCTCTCCCAGGACCAGGGATTTCTGTGCCTCCTCATGGGCATGAATAGCTAAGCAGTGGGGCAAAACTCCCCACAACCCAAACCCTACTACTGGCTTGTAGGGTTGCAGAGCTGGGTCCAAGGTGGTGTGAAGTGAGCCAAGTGACTGCTCAGGCCAGGAGTGAGACCTGGAAGAGGGGACTGGGGCTTCATCAGAAAGATTATTTTTTTAATACATGGATGGATTATGTACCTTTATCAAATAAAACAAGTACAAGCTCAGAAACAGTGTATCAGAGAATCATAAAACAATTTAGGTTGCAAGGGACCTCTGAACACCAACCTCCTGCTCTCAGCACATCCAAGTAGATCAGGTTGCTCAGCAACTTGCTGAGTATCTCCATCACTTCCCTCAAGAATGCAAACCCAGATTGTGACACAGGAGTTGTCCTGCCTTATTCTCCATCTGCAGGGATGGGGATGGCTCCTACAGCTTCAGGGAAATGAATGGCACCTACCCCTGGACAGCATAGCAAAGGTGTGGGCTAGGCATTTCCTTAAGAGTATTGGGAAGAAGGAGTCCCAGGTGCCTATGGCAAAAGCAAGATCCTAAAACTGAAAGCAGCTGTGGGTTTTGTGCAGCGGGGAGCAGGGCAGGAGGGATCGAGAATTTCCCTTGAGGGAGTGGTCTTCAAATAAACTAGCCTTAGAAGCCTTTAATGCAATTGCATTCTAGCCCCTCCAGGGAAAGGCCTTCTCCACTGAAAACCAGAGGAAAAGTAGCAAGGTCCCTGGGTGCAACCTTCTGGGCTTGGAAAGGTCTTCTGGGAATAGCAGAGGTAGGTAGGGCTGTCTTCATGTAGAGAGGGCACCACTCTTGTATCTCATAAGGAAATAAGTGTCTGGTGAGGAAAAGGGCCAAGGACCTCAATCAACAGCTTCACAAGGATATTACCACTTTATTTTACATTGCATACATCAGACTAAGTCTCAAACTAGGAGTTACTGATTCTTCAGTGAGTAGAAAATCCCTCTGTGATCTCAAAGGGAAGCCCTGGAGGGGAGCAGGATCCCACCAACCAGGCTTGCATAACACTGAACAGCAGGCCACATCTTCCCTATTAAAGGAAAGGCCACAGTGCCATGCTCCTGTCCCTGAGGACACACAACTGCTGCCTGCAGGCAGGAATAAGCCCCTCCCTCACCTCAGCAGCTCCTGGCCCTGAGGAATGCCAGGCACCCAGCTGGAAGGGCTGCCTGGGCCGAGCCCAGGAGGGAGATCATTGCTGCCTGCTGTGCAGGAGGTGCTGGAACAAGGAGCCATCTTTCTGGCTGAGGCGGGTGGGTGAATCCAGCTCTGCCACTCTCCCAGCCTGCATCACCAGCACACGGTCCGAGTCCAGGATGGTGTTCAGCCTGTGGACAACAAATGCCAGGACACACGTTGGTTGGATCTGAGGAGAAGCTCTGGATACTGCTTCCCCTGCTGTTAAGGGCGGCCCAAGACATGGCCAGCATCAGGAGCTGTGCAGGATCTCCCTCTGCGCTCAAGGCCACAGTGCAGTGCAGCTCCCCAGAGCCTCTGCTCACTGCTGAAGTGCAGCACCTCTTAGGAGAGCACAGTGATGCCTTCCAGCTGCTGGGTATGGCAGGGCACCAGGAGCACAGAGGGAAGTTCTGTGGGGGGAAGCTCAGGGCATGCCTGATTCTGGGGTTGCACAAAATGTTTCCATCCCTGCAGGGGTTAATGAGTTGCTTTATTTGCCCCAACATTTCCTCACCTGCCACCTCCCAAGGGCAGCAGAAATTGTGCATCAGCTGTTATTCCTCTGCAGTCTAGCACATTTGCTTATACTACCACCACCACCAGATTTGTACTTGCCAGACAGCCAACCACAGGACCCACTGCACACATATGTGCCTAGGTCTGCCCAGACTGCCAGCAGAGCAGCAACCTCTGTCTCTGGATATGGAACACAGGACAGCAGGAATGTTTTTGCACAATCATGCATCATTCAGTGTGAAACTACAGCCCTGTGAAGCTGCAAATCACAAGGAAGACACTACACAGGATTTGAGCAGGTAAAAGGCATTATGGAGTTCAAGACTCTGGTTACACCTTCATCTCCAAGAGAGTGCAGGCTGCAGCACTGGAAATTACTTGGAGGGGAAAGAGACAAGTCCAGAGTCACCTCCCATCCTGGATTTTACCCAAAGCTGAATGGCATGGAAAAACCATGGATACAAAACAATCCCATCATCACCTCTCTCTCCTTACTGCTCTCCCCCATTGCTCTTCATCCCAGTGGAAAAGGGGCTGGGGCCATCTTCAACTCAGTCTTACTGCTTTGCCTTCTGCCACTCCTTCCTCTGCTGTTTCTCCTCTTTAATTACTCCCCCATCAAAGGTGGCCTCCCCACACCCAACCCAAACATACACCTCAGCCCACAGTGCCCTTGCACTTCTACTTTATTTATGCCTAACATCCCTAGAGTAGGAACCACATTCCCTTCACACCCCTCCTGCCTCCCTCCTACATAATGTATTTAACAAGACCCACTTGATTCACTTGCCAGGCCCAGCCCACCCTGCCTGTCATCCATCACTCCCACTCCTGTGCAGCAGGACACCAGCCTCTGCCATCTGCTCATTTGATTTTTATTTTTGTGGTAACCTCTGTGCTTTGAAAACACCCTCCATACAATTGCATAACCCTCCTCCAAACGCTCCTCCACTTGGCAAGAGTAAGAGCAGAGAACACCACCTAATGCTCAGCCATCCCTTCTCTGCAGTATTCATGTTTTGCCCTCCTCCCTCTGGCTGCATCCATCCACTGATTCTACTCCTAATCTCTCTGATGGGAGGCAATCACTGTTGTCCTGTCCTGCCTGGGCAGTGTCTATCTCACTGGCATAAGGTGCAGGCTAGAACTAAAACTCAGAAGACAGAACCATCCAGGAGCTGGCTGCAGCCCTTTGCTGCTGGCTGTCCTGCACTGCCCTCTACTGAGCCAGGGACACCGGCTCCTCCCCTGTCTCCACATCACCCCTTTCCATAGGATAGTTCTCCATTACTCCTCGCCCTAATGTGGCAGAACCACAAGGAACGATTCACCTGCCCTACCAGCAGGCAGTGCCCAGGAAGAGAAAGCTGTGATATGATGCTTCATTTTGCCTTTTGCTGATACCAACTTCTGGGTACAACATTTTCCTCTTTTCATATCCAGTTGTTCCAGCACCCAGCAGAAAAGGCAAAAGGCAAGATCAAGCTTTGGCACATAAAAAACTTTATCACAGAGACCTCCATGCTCAGCTTGAGGCCCAGGCATGGCATGTGAAGCCACCTCTCCCTGAGAGTGGCAGGATGATTTAGGCACCGAGGTTCTTCCATACCTGTGGGCAATTGTCAGAACAGTTTTGTCAGCGAAGCGCTGGCGGATGGTCTGCTGCAGCAGCTGGTCTGTCTTCTGATCCACACTGGCTGTGGCCTCATCGATGCACAGCACCTGCCAGGGACACAGAGTGAAGGCAGCTCCCAGGCACCACAGCAGAGCCCTCCCTCTCTGGCTAGAGATAGCCTGAGAAGTTAGCACGGGATATCTGTTCCCATTACACCTCCAACTCTGCACACTCTCCTCTGGTGTCCCCAGGCAGCCAGGTCACCCTCCCCCTTGCTGCGACAGGGGCAGGGCACTCACCTTGGCCTGCGTCAGGAGGGCTCTGGCCAGACACACCAGCTGCCTCTGTCCCACAGACAGACTCCTTCCCCTCTCTCCCAGCTTGCTGTCAAGTCCACCTGCAGGGATCAAGATCAGCAGTCACCTGCATCACCTACACAGGGCCCCAGACAGCTCCACCAGTCCAAGGTTTTCCCAGTAGCACACAAAATCCCAATTCTG